CCCTTTTTTTGCCCGATTTTGCATGTTTTTTGTATGTTTTGAGATTGCACCCCTTTTGCACCCCTGTTGCACCCCTTTTGCACCCCTCTTGCACCCCTTTTGCGCCCTTCAGCCGGTTGACTTTTTGCTAGTTTTTTTTACATGATCTGGGAGCGCTTGTTGACGACTGTCCACACTCCCTCCCTTTTTTTGCCCGATTTTGCATGTTTTTGTATGTTTTGAGATTGCACCCCTTTTGCACCCCTGTTGCACCCCTTTTGCACCCCTCTTGCACCCCTTTTGCACCCTTCAGCCGGTTGACTTTTTGCTAGTTTTTTTACATGATCTGGGAGCGCTTGTTGACGACTGTCCACACTCCCTCCCTTTTTTGCCCGATTTTGCATGTTTTTTGTATGTTTTGAGATTGCACCCCTTTTGCACCCCTGTTGCACCCCTTTTGCACCCCTCTTGCACCCCTTTTGCGCCCTTCAGCCGGTTGACTTTTTGCTAGTTTTTTTTACATGATCTGGGAGCGCTTGTTGACGACTGTCCACACTCCCTCCCTTTTTTTGCCCGATTTTGCATGTTTTTTTGTATGTTTTGAGATTGCACCCCTTTTGCACCCCTGTTGCACCCCTTTTGCACCCCTCTTGCACCCCTTTTGCACCCCCCTCTTTTTGATCAATTCTTTTTGATCAATTTTGCATGTTTTTTTGCATGACCTGGGAGTGCTTGTTCACGATTGTCCATGCCGCGGAAGCTATTTTGGCGGGGAAACCTGCTCGGCCCCCCATTTGGTCGGCCCCCTTTGATCGGCCAGAATCCAAGTTCGAGTGAAGATTGTGCTTGCAGTTGTATGGACTTGTATGGATCTTAGGATGACATCTGGCATGAGCCCGGTGAGGAAGAAGCAGAAGAGTTCCAGGCACTTTTTTTTTTCATGTGTTCCGCTCACACCTTCGTAACCATTTGCAGGTCACCGCCATCTACTGAGCCCGCCCCACTGGTGATTCGCGAGGCCGTGAATGTGGAGGCGTTGCGGCAGCTTTGCAGGTTGCGGGCAACCGATGAGCTGCGTTTGCCAGACAACCCGCACACCCTGCGGCGAGAGCTCTTCATTGTGTTGAAACGTCTTGATAGCTCCAATGAGATGCCTGTTTGTGTGGCGTGACGGACCGCCCTGCACAAGGGTCGGAAGGAAGGGGCGGAGGTACAGCGGAGTATCTGATGTGGGCCAGCTGCCGAAGGAGCTGCAAAAAGATGTGGAGGACATCATGGAGCGGGTCGGCGCGAGCTGCTGGGGTGTGACCAGAGGGCTCTTCACCCTTCCGAGGGAGGTCAGGAACGCGCTCCGTGCGCCAGAGGGGCTGGACGTCGACCAGTCGATGTGCCACTGCTACGCACAGCGAAGCAGACATGCGCCCGAGGACACCCCGAAGCTTCGCCACTACATCGAGAACAGGACCGAATGCGAGGCCTTCTTGGACGACCGCGACCTTGCCAAGGAGCTGTTCCGAGGGCTGATGAATACCGGCGGGGAGCCGTTGATCCGCCGCGTTCTTCACAAGGCGAACAAGACGCTCCAGGACATGCCGAAGTTCGTACTGGAGTTCCAAGCCGAGCAGTCGGTGCTGTTGGGCAAAGACGTAGCAAACCACCCGGAGCTGGCGCGACAGCTGCCCCCTGGCACTTTGCAGAGCGTGCTGAACGAGGAGTACGAGCGGAAGAACACGGACCTCTTGGCCGAGCTCTCGTCTGCCTTTGGGCTGGTGAACAGCTACGAGCACGACGGCATCTACTGCCTTGCCATGCCCTCCCAGCATTCTGAGCTCCTTGCAAGGGCCAACGCCATCGTGCCGGTCAAGGGCACTGGACCATGGAGCGTTGAAACGGCAGTGGAGGCACTTCGGCAGCGGTTCCCTTCTCTGTCATGGGATGAGGTTGACGAGCATTGGGAGCTCCAGCAGGACACGTGCACACACATATGCGTTTTTGTTGTAACTTTTTTTTTCTGACGGGTGACTTTGCAGGAGAAATGTATGGAGATCCGCAGAAGATGTTTGCATGGGCAGAAGAACTTCCCGAAGCTCTTGGCCGACGTCGTGCCGTACCACCGACTGGCCTCGGGCTACATGGTGAAGGAGGTGTTCAAGGCAGTGCCCGTGCGGGAGGACAAGATGTGTCTCATGTTCTTCGTGGATGGATGCTGGAGAGACCAGGCTGCAGCTTCTGCCAGTGCGCTTGAGGACATAGTGAGAGACGTGCTCATCAATGCCATTGGCCGCTACAAGGGCGACTTACCAGTGGTGGTGTATGAGACGCATCCTCAGGTTGCCACGGCCCTGCAGCGCATGAACGGAGGGCTCTTCGACATGTCTTGGCACTTGAGTCTTGACGGCGACGACACTCGCCACATCTTCGCATACAATGACGGCACCTTCCAAGACACCAGGGACTACACCTTGAAACCCATGCGCCCGGGAATTCCGGTCACTCGGAACGCGGACCGGCCATACCCCGGCGCCCTCATTGCTGAGCTTGAGGCCAAGATGACGGAGGAGGGGCTCAACCTTGTGGAGATCCTCACCAGGGTCAAAACTCAAGAGATGTTCGCTGCGACGCACGTGGAGGAGCCGACGCCCTGCCTGGCGCTTCCTGAGGGCTTTCGGTACAGCCCGGAGCTAGAGCGTGACCTTGACCGGGTAGCTTCGATCCTCCCTTTCTACGAGATCATGGCAAGCTGCCACGAGGACCCGCCCACGACCTTCCACGTGTTGAAAGGTATGGCCAGAGTCAAAGCTGCGCCTGAAAACTTTGAGGAAGCCAGGTTCCACCAGGGCGAAGGTCAGAACGGAAAGGGCTTGATGAATGCCCTCTTTCGTACCTTCTGCGGCGAGTACCACGTCGAGCCCAAAGCCGATGTGTTTTCTGCGTTCTCACCCTTCAGGCACCTCCATACCGCTACTTCAGCTACGAGGCCGTCGGTCGATGTCGGTCAACGAAGTGGAAGCTGGAGTGAAGATGAGGAGTGGGATGTTGAAAGATCTCCGAGATCAATCGTCCTTCGTGGAAGCAAGAGGGCTGGGATCCGGTGCGCTTCCGACCACAATTCATGATGAACTTCTCCAGCAACGCCTCTTTTGAATTTCGTGCGATTGACGGTGGTATGAGGCGCAGCTTCACGGCCATTCCGTGGCCTTTCAAGTTTGTGGCCAGGCCGGCGCCCAACAGCAACGAGAGACAGCTTCGGAACAATCTGAAGCAGCGAGACTTTCTGCTGGCGAATGTGATCCCGTCCATGGAGATCATCCTGAAGGAAGTGGATCTGATGTTCTTGAGAGACAGTGTCAGCACGCTGGTGGAGCCAAGAACGCAGTCGGTTCTGGCATGCACCGCCCACCTGTTTGGGTCCTTGCAGCTCCAGGATATCAGGGAGGTCCTCGACTCCATACCGCTCAGCCCCAACGCTGCCCTGGCCAGCTCACAGGGCGATGTTCGGAAGTTCTTCCGCGACCACGATGCGGTGAAGGGGCTCAAGCTGTCCGGCAAGCAACTTGACAGGCTGCTGCAGGAGGTGCTGGCCCCGAAGACAGTCAGAGGTAAGCGGGTGTATTCGGCAGGAGACTTTCCTCAATGTGGCGAACGAGCCACCGTTTTAGGCCAACGTTCCTGAGAACTGGGCATCTTGTGCCACTGTACAGCTGGGCCAACATACCCCCTCGCGCCGCACAGCGCATCTCGAACAGGTGGAACGATGACAAAGACGTGCTGAGATTTGTTTTTGTTTGCCAAACAGACTTGCGTGCCATTGATAGACTTGGAGTTGTGACCTTTGTGTGGGATCGCCGCAGCTATTTTGTTTCAACATCTAGAGTTGGCACGCCGGAGGCTGACTCTTGTGCTTTTTTTTTCTTTGGCTGTGCATGACCTTGCTCCCGACAGGCCATGTAGATTGTACGCCCGACGTGGAGGCCCGTGTTCTTCCTGCTGGAGTTTTGTTATTTTTTGAGAGAGCTGGAGAGTCAGGTGGTTTTCAACACGTTTGCTGGCTCGCCCAAACCGTTGGCGCACCGGAGGCTGACTCTTGTGCCTTTTTTCCTTTTTTTTTCCTGTGACAGTCCATGACGCTCCTGACAGGCCACGCAGATCATGCGCCCGATGTGGAGGCCCGCATTCTTGCTGGGGTCTTTTTTTTTTGAGAGAGCTGGAGAGTCAGGTGGCTTTTTTTTCAACCCGCGTTGGCACGCCGGAGGCTGACTCTTGTGCTTTTTTTTTTCTTTGACTGTGCATGACCTTGCTACGCTCCTGACAGGCCCTATGTGGAGGCCCGTGTTCTTCCTGCTGGAGTCTTGTTTTTTTTGAGAGAGCTGGAGAGTCAGGTGATTTCAACCCGTTTTGCTACTGGCTCGCCCAAACCGCTGGTTGGCACGTCGGAGGCTGACTTTTTGCGCCTTTTTTTTCCTGTGACAGCCCATGACAGGCCATGCAGATTATATGCCCGATGTGGAGGCCCGCGTTCTTCCATTTTTTTGAGAGAGCTGGAGAGTCAGGTGATTTCAACCCGTTTTGCCACTGGCTCGCCCAACCCGCCGGCATGTCGGAGGCTTACTCTTGTTTTTTTTTCCTGTGACAGTCCATGACCTTGCTACGCTCCTGACAGGCCATGCAGATTATATGCCCGATGTGGAGGCCCGCGTTCTTCATGCTGGAGTCTCTTTTATTTAGAGAGCTGGAGATTCAGGTGATTTCGACCCGTTCGCTGGCTCGCCCAACCCACTGGCATGTTGGAGGCTTACTCTTGTTTTTTTTTCCTGTGACAGTCCATGACCTTGCTACGCTCCTGACAGGCCATGCAGATCATACGCCCCGATGTGGAGGCCCGTCGACCCGTTTGCTACTGGCTCGCCCAACCCACTGTCGGAGGCTTACTCTTGTTTTTTTTGTAGCCCTACGCTCCCGGCAGGCCATGCAAAATCATACGGCTTATGTGGAGGCCTGCGGTTTCCTGCTATTGTGAGAGAGCTGGAGAGTGAGGTGGTTTGGAGAAAAAAAAAGGGAGGGAGAGTGTGCGAGGAGAGAGTGAAAGGGTTCCGACTCAGTTTTTTTTGATGTTGGTCAGTCCGCCCAACAAGTTTCTTTTTTTTTGCAGACTCCAGTGCGACAGGTGATGTGGCCTGGACTTTTTTTTTTTGTGATACTGGCCCGCCCAACGGGTCTGGGGGGGGGTTGGGGTTTGGCTTGACACTGGGCCGCCCAACAGGCGGGGTCTGGGCTTGATACTATTTCCGCCCAACCCGTTTTTTTTTTGGGCGGGGATCCCAAATCAAGCAAAAAAACATGCAAAAACGAGCAAAAAAGAGGGGGTGCAAAAGGGGTGCAAGAGGGCCAGAGGGGTGCAAGAGGGGTGCAAGAGGGGTGCAAAAGGGGTGCAATCCCAAATCACACAAAAAAACATGCAAAATCGAGCAAAATGGAAGGGCGTCGTGGACAATCGTGAACAAGCGATCCAAAACAAAGCAAACAAGAACATACAATATCGAGCAAAGGGGAGGGGGGTGCAAACGGGGTGCAAGAGGGGTGCAAGAGGGGTGCAAAAGGGGTGCAATCCCACGAGGCCCGCTTTGAGTGCAGAGAGAGTTTTTTTTTAAAGTACTGGTCCGCCCAACCCGCTGGGGGTTTGATACTGGTTCGCCCAACCTGCTGGGGGTTTGATACTGGTTCGCCCAACCCGTTTGGGTTTGATACTGGTTCGCCCAACCCGTTTGGGCTTGATACTGGTCCGCCCAACCCGTTTGGTTTGCCGAGGACCCCAAACCCTAAAGGGACATTTGCACGGTTTTGCGCAACAGAAATGCTATTCTTACAGGGTGTATATTCATATACGGCCTGAGGAATAGCTTTTTTGTTAAAAACCCTCTAGGCCCCGCGCCGAAATTGGGTAGCTGTTCTGAGGTCCTTGTTGGTGTTGCTTCCCAAGTTCCATTGATCGCCATTTGGCTCAAGACACAATTGAGGTTCAAGATCTGATGTGTGACTGCAGACCTACGTGATCGGCATTAAGAGCAAAACACTTCGCTTGCGCTGCATTTGTCAGGACCACTGTTGTAACTATCATTCCTTCTCCCTTACAACGTTTACACGGGTTCGGCTATAACGGCATCGTCCGTATACACCTTTCTACGTGGTTGGTATTAAGCTTGAGGGTTCGGTGCACAGCGTCCCACGGGACGTCACCTTGCCGTCTCTTGACAGGTTATCAGCCGTAACTACAAGCTCTACACTGGACTGGGAGACAGCTGGTTTATTGCGGGTACAGGGACAATAAAGGAACGATAACCTACACAGTACAATGGCGTCTTCGGCGAGCCCAAGTACTGCAACTTTTGGGAACAGCAGCTCAGAGGGATCCAATGGATTGATGGCTCTTCCTGCGGTGATGGATATGGTTGCAGATTCACAGGATGAACCTGGGAGCGGAGGTTCCGCGCTATTCAGCGACATATCTACTCCCACAAGATCATGGAAGCAGATCGATGTTCATCAGGAGTCGAAGAAAAGAGAATCCCCACCGAGAAGATCATCATCTTCACCTGCGACACCACGGACGTCGCAGAAGGGCGTGAGATCGACATCGAAGGGTGGGAGGTCAAAATCACCCACCAGTGCAGATTTTCGCGCCGTGATCAAAGAGAAGAATAAGATGGAGGTGGAGATCGGGGAATATCAGAAGACACTTGATGAAATGTCGGCAGCAATGGCGAATCTTAACCAAGAAGACTATGGAAGCACCATCCGGATCCAGGAGCTGGAAAGACGATGCGAGATTGCCAGCAAGCAGTCGGGACATCTAGTGAGTCACCACCAACACCACATGGCTGAGGCATGGCGCAAGTTTGAGGAAGAAGCCCAACAGATGCGCAAGGTGGAAATGAACGCATTTCAGTACGGGGAGAAGAAAGACATGGAGTCGAATATTATAATGCAACAGATGAGGCAAGCTGAAGGAACTATCATGGAGCAGAAGCGGGAGATTGCATTGATGAAATCCTACATGGCAAGCGAGAAGTCGGCCGCGCAGGAATCAGCTATACGTGCAAATCAGATACACCGTGAGGCTTCACAACAGATATCAGCTTATCAGCAACAGATCAGAGGCATAGAATCTTCTACATCTATCGAGAAGTTCAACGAGGAGGAGATGGTCCAAAGTCTGAAATCACAGTTGGAGCATGCACTCGTCAAGCGCCCCGAGACGTACTCTTTGGAGGACTCCAGGGAACAGCTGATGACGAGGCTGAATGACGTTACAGTATTTGCGGAACAGGAATCGAAGAGAGCAGATTGCTTGCTTCGCGAAAAAGAAGAGATCGTCAAACAGTATGAGTCCGACGTGTCGATGAAGGACCAGATGATTGCTGTCGAAGGTGGTCATCGTCAGGATGCGATCTTGGAGTTAGCCCAGGTCAAAGAAGAGAAACAAGAGGAACGGTGCACGATGGACGAGAAGTCGAAGGAGGCTGAGTACTGGAGATTGACAGCTAAGGGAATGTACGATGAGTACCTCGAGGAGATGCATGAGCTTCAGAGACAACTGAAAGAAAGAGAGGCGACGCTCAAGCAAGAAGAGAGTTTTGTACGCCAACTCGATGCTGACAACGAGGAACTACGTGCACACAAGAAGCTGGAGACACAGGAAGCCTCCAGCAGCAAAGATGGACATCGTGAACGAGCAGTAGTGAAACGCGCTGAGGGAGGAACCCAGGCTAATTCAAATAGGATAGACAAGAAGGTGGCTGGGTCAGTCCCGTCATCGTCTTCAAATCAAATCCCTAATTCGTCGCTGATGCCAGGTTCGATCCTCTTTCCGTCTTTCGGTGATCCAATGATCGATGTACACCTATCCCAGATGCAAGGGGTTGTTGGGCATGTCCCACAATCCACTACTACGACTGGTGGTGGTGATGGGGGGGGAAACAACGGTACTACGCCCCCATTGGATTACGGTGGATTCCCGCCCAATGGGAATGGGCAGGGAGCGGGTCGACGTCAGTTGAGCCTCGCTGGTGGCGGAGGAGGACCTCCGGATGATCCACCCGATGATGAGGATGAGGATGACGACGACGAAGGAGATGAGGAAGACGAGGAAGAAGAAGAGGAAGAAGACGATCGGACACGGAGGAGACGAAGGAGATCGAGAGATAACCGAGAGATCAAGAATGATCGACCGAGAATCTCGAGGAAAGAGGCCGAGAGAGTATCTATTCCGGCCTGGCCAAAGATCCATCAACTTGACACCTGGAAGATGCAACTGCTGATGAATGTTCTGAGCGCATGTGCGGATCCAGATACCGACGCATGGACGAAATGGCTGGAGCAGGCTCTTGGGTTGAACCCAGACCTGGATTTGCTTAGCGATTCAGGTGGCGACAGATTTGCTACGATAGATATTAAGATGGCCATGGGCATGCAGAACATGCTGAAACAAGCACCTGACGAAGCCAAGGACGTATACCTCGATGCTACACGACACTCTGAACTACGACATCAACAAGGGGTGATCGTGAAGGGACGAGAGTTGGTGGCATTAGTTATGCAATCATTCAGAACTTCCGATAGAACGGATCTTGTCTACCACATCGAGCACTTATTCAACCTTGACTTTCCTGGCGACAA